GCCGGGCCCCGCGCTGGTACAGGCTGCGCAGGCTGAAGCCGTCCTGGCCGGTGCAGTACAGCAGGTGCCAGGGCTGCTGCGTCAGCCGAGGGGGCAGGTGGGGGCCCAGCTGGGGCAGAGTGGGCTAAGTTGGGGCAGGCAGGCTGCTCCCGAGCATCCTCTCAGATCTCCCCAAGCACCCTCCTCTCCCCACCACCCCCCAGGCATCCTCCCCCTGCCCAGCATGCTCCCAAGATGTCTTCCCAAAAATTCTCTCCCCAAGCCCCCAAGCATCCTCTTGAGACGGCTCCCCAAGCACCCTCCCCCTCTAAGCATCTTCTCAAGACACGTCCTCCCACCTGAGCAACCTCCCAAAAGGTTCAAGCTTCCAGCCCACCCAGCAACCTCCCAGGATGCTTCTCCCAAGCATCTTCACCCTGAGAACCCTTCTGAGGTGTCTCTCTGAGCATCCTCCCCCAGCACGCTGAAGTGGCCGTCCCTGGGGACAGGGGAATGTCACCCATCTGGCCTTGTGCTGGGCCAGTTCCTGGCGGGACAGTGGCCATGGCTGCACGGCATGGGGGAAGGTGAGCAGGTGGGGTCCCCATGCTGGCAGGAAGGTCCCTTACCTCCTGGATCTGCCCGTCCCGCAGGACACTGCTTGGCATGCTCAGCATCAGCCTGCACTGCTCTTTCAGGGCCGGGGCTACTGCTGGGGCTCCCTCCCAGCCTGGTTGTCTCTCTCTGACTGGCTCCCTGCATCCCGTGGGCAGCTCCTTGTCCTGGTCGGGCTGGGAGCAGGTGGAAGTGAGCATCCCTGCAAGCCCCGAGGGAGCTTGTCCCCAAACCTGCCCTGTGTGGGGTGTCTGCCATCCTGTGGTCAAAGGAGCCCAAAGACTGCGGGGATGGGCACCTGCCTGAGCCTCCAGCACTGATCCTGGCTGCCCCACCAGCCTGGCTGGGCTATGCCATGACCTGCCCTGGCACTCTGACGGGCCATGCCGCTACCATGCACAAAAGTTCAAGGGTGTGGGGGCTGCCCAAGGACAAGGGTGACAAGGAAAAGGAGGCAGGGGAGGCTTCCTCAGCTTCAGCCCAATCTCTTCCTCCCTGGCCGCCCCCTCCCCTTGCCCATGCCTGGGCTGGCTCCCCAGTGAGCGTGGGGTCAGGGATGTGCCTTGGTCCCGGCGGCAGCTGGTGACAAGTGTCTCAGCCAGCCACATGCTCAGGGTGGCCCATCACCCTCCACACCTCCCCAGTCCCCCGCTTTTCCCAGGATGCCCGCATTCGTCTGTCTGGCCATACACCCAGGCAGGCTGGTGCCGCCCAGCACTGCCCTGGAGCGCCTTCCCGTGCCCATGCTGCCATGTGGGACCCCGACACACTGGACCTACCAGGAGGTGGTATTGGGCACGGAGCCTCCTCATCATGGGCATGTGGGTGCTGCTCTGGTGCTGGGAGCCGTACTGCTGGGGAGCCCTCGGCACCACCCCGGGTTAACGTTCACCTGCACTGGCCCCTCCCTGGCCACCCAGCTCATGACACAGGTGGGTGGGGATGCTGGCAGCCTGCCCTGGCCATGGGGGCCCAGGATGTGTCCCCCTGCAGAGCCAGGTCCTGTGTGGTGCTGGGAGGCTGGGCAGGCGTCCCCTTCCAGCCAGGCACTGGGAGGCTGTCACCTCCTTTGCACCCTGGCTGCTGCCTGGGCTGGGCTCTGGATACCCAAGGGGGGGGGCCCGAGGCCACAGGGGAGTCCTTGTTTAGGGATCAACGGGCAGGTCGTGCCTGTGTTGCTCTTTGGAACATGACTGTTGCAATAGGTGTAGCCAGTGCCAACATCTGCCTGGCAGATGCGATGGCATGTGCCCCCTCTGGCAGAGCCAGCCTAGGCTAGTGGCCTGCAGTGGGGTGAACCTGAGCCCCTGGGAGGGCTTGTTCTGGGTCTGTGTGTCTGGCAGGGTGTTGGTACCAGAGGACAGGGGCTACAGCAGTGAGAAGCTTCCTGAACATCCCCCAGCTACAAGTTGGACCCACCTCTGGCCAAGGCTGAGCCTCTGTGATAACGTATTTAAGAAGGGGAATCTGGGAGCAGGAGTGGGAGTTGTGAGGAGGAGTTGTGAGGAGGACACCTGTGTGAACACAGAGGGCAGTGGAAGGAAGGAGGAGAAGGTGGTGAGAGGGCAGGGCTGTCCCACCCCTGCCACCCATGGAAATCTGCGGTGGAGCAGAGGCTGACCTGCAGCCCGTGGAGGACCACACGCTGGAGCAGGGGCTGTGACCGAAGCAGCCAGGGACCCTGTAGGAAGAAGCAGCCCCCGCTGTTGTGTTTCAGCACTAGGAAGGCTGCAGCACGTGGGGGTGACCCACGGTGGAGCAGGACAGGAATGGCTGTGGCCCGTGGGAAGGACTCACAGCAGAGATTTCGTGGAGGACTGTCCCATGAGAGGGACAGCATGCTGTGGCAGGGAAATGCAAAGAGTTCCCCCACCCCGAGGGGTAAGGAGCTGTGGGACTGACTTCACCCCCTCATTCCCTGTCCCCTGCACTGCTGGGGAGGAGGAGGAGGTAGAGAAATCAAGAGCAAAGCTGAGCCCAGGAAGAAGGGAGAGTAGGGGGGAAGGTGTTTTTAAGATGTGGCAATGCTTCGCACTGTCCTCTCTCTCCATTGTTTTTAAATTGATGTTCTTTTTCTTCCCCTAAGGAGTCTGTCTTTTGCCCATCACCATAAAGGGTGAATCATCCCTCTCTATCCTTTCTCAGTTTCAAGCCTTTTACTTAATTTTTCTCCTTCCCAGTCCTGGGGGG